AAAAAAATATCGAAATTAATTTATATCTTCTAAACGGTAATAGATAGGTATAGGGAAATAGTATATGAATTTGTTGACAAAGTGATAATGAATCATAATATGATATTATATACGGGGTGTTCCATTTGAAAAATCAAAGAAGCCGCTACTTTATAGTAGAAGCGACAACGCCGCTTCGTCTGAAATATTTTAGGCGTGTAGGTCATATTGATTTATGCATACTGCGAAATTTTCAGGTTGATCCGTTAAATAGTTTGTCAGAAACGGCTAATTAACGCTCATCATGAAAAGACCTGTATGTATATAACATGCATAATATAGTAGAGAAACACTGATAATTTTATATGTTTTTAAAGTGATGTCATATATAAACATATTTTTTCTTACATTGCAAATGCTGGCCGAATCCTGCGAGATAGAGCAAAATAATGTACTACAGTACTGAACATCTCAAAAAGGTATACAAAAAATTCGGCGATGGTATATGTCTGTCTCTTAGGAATAACCTATAATAACCACTTTTCATTCTAGAGAAATAATGGTTTGTTTACGAAAATATTGTAAGCAATACAGCGTTAATCCTTATCCCAATTAAGTACCTTGAATACAATATGCATTTAATATAGATCAATATAGATTACAACATGTAGTTTAAACGAATATTTTCGAAGATATTACAAATTTAAAATTCAAGGTCACAGCGGTTGTGGCGGTACCGGCCGGGGGGCCGGCGGCGTGTGCTAGTAAATAGCGTGTCAAAGGCCGAGCTTCGCCCTATAGCACTTTGTGATTAGCAGTTTATATGTACATTTAGTATCAGCATGGCACCCGTGAGTAGCCGGGGGCGAGTCGCTAGTATAAAACATTTGAGATGATTATATTATCCAACACTTCATGATCTCTTTTAAGTACTTATTATTGTCAACAATTTTTGTTATTATTAGTCTATTTCGAATATGTTATGAGGAGGTTATATTTTTCAATTTACATCATTTTTTGACTGATTTATTGGAGTTAAGGAAAAATAGTAGTGTTTTGTGTAAGCAAGAAAGGATAAACTAACATAGTGTATATACAAGGACAGTTTTGGATATTGACAGAAGAGATAGATATTTGGAAAAACATCAATGCCCAAAACGGTTCTAGTCACATTGATTTAACCTATCTCGTCTCATTTTCCTGAAAAAGTTATTATTACCTCACTATTATTACCTTACTATTTATTATCATTATTATATTGTATAATTACCTTCATTTGGTGGTCTACTTCTGTTAACACGAACTTGTTCATTTCTTTTTTCGGAAACATTCCTATCTTTTTCTTTCTTGTCATTTGGTCTTACTTTTCCGGCACTCTTTGCATCAATATTTTTCTCCCTTCCTTTCATATCTTGGTTCTTTTCTTTCTTTTTATTTGCCTTATTACCTTGTTCCTTTCCAACAAGATCCCCCTTGTCAGTACTATATTCTTTCTTATTACTTTTGCTAACAACTTTTGTATCTTTTTCTTTCTTCATGTTTTTAATCTCCTTTGTATTGTTTTTCTCTTCCTCATTTCCCTTTTCCTTACAATTTCCTTTACCTTCTTGACTTTTTGGACCTCTCTCCTTTTTGTTGTCATTTTTATCAGTTGTGTTTTTTGTCACCTTCTTATCATTCACTTCTTCCTTTTTATTTTTTTCGTGTTTCCCATCTAATTTTTTATTTATCTGCTTCGTTCTAGATCCTTGTTTTTCATCACTTTTGTACTCAATTTTTTTAACATATTCTGAATTCATATATTCATGATTCCTTGCTTTTTTTTGACAATTATATAATTGTTTCAGAGTTTTACCACTATGTTTCAATTTGTACAGCTTTTGGATGAATTCACTGATGTCTTTCGGAGTGATGGACAATTCAGAAATGTCTATTTTTTTATTCAGTCTGTGCACATTTTCTAATGTACTTTTTATATCCTCATACTCCTTAAGGAATTTCTCTAAACAGTTTATTGTCTGTTGGTCGCATATTTTACCCAAAGCCTTTTCTCTAAAAATGAAAACGGGAATAAAGACAAATAATTCACATGCACATGCAAGCTATAAAATATTGAAGAGTTAGCCAATCGAAGAGTTCTGAGAATAAAGCTGTTATATGAATAATTCAATATGTGAAAAGAAACATAAAACGTTTGTACCTGTTTAGTTGAACGACTGATGGGGATATGTAAAGATATTTTGGAGAGAAGCTCGGGGCTGATACTCAGTCCGTTGATAATTTTGAATAGAAGTATTAAATCTCTATGTTTTCTATGAGTCTCAAGAGAATGTATGTTCAAAATGCATTCCAATGCTAAATAGTCATAGTATACACGCATCTTGAAGGCAATATA